GGCCCGCGCTCGTGCCCGCCCGCAGCTTCGGCGCCGGACTCCGGGGCGGTGGCGTTAGCAAGCCACCGCGCTTGGTTCTGGGCGAGGGGACCCGGGCTCTCAAGCCCCCATTGCCGCCCGGAGAGCCCCGGCGTACAGGCACACCGTAGCAGGCTGGCTTCGGCTAGGAATCCCAGGAAGGACAGACCCTTTTCCCCCCTTTTTTATCCCTCTCCCCCCAATGTTCACGTCTTTTTAACCGGCTTAGGGCATTATTAGCACATGTCCTGGCTCGTGGACGAGTTGGAGGCAAAATCTGAACTGGATACTTACGGAGGGCCCGAGAGGGTGCAGCGCCTTCCTCCAGTCTGGTCCTCCTTGCTGGGAGCAGCCCCGCGCCGATAGGCTGTGGGCGGAGCAGCCGGGCGGAGCGAGCCTCCTCACCGCAGCTCGGCAGCGCACTTCTGCAGCTGTGCCGCTGGGAACATTTTATAGCGGCGGCTGGCGTGTGTGGCCCTTTAAAGGCGCTCGAGCTGGTGCAGTCACCGTGGATCTTGTGAAAGCGGAGGGCGGGCTAGGGAACAGAGTCCGTGCGTCCCCTCCGGCCCCTCAGCCCTGGGGGCACGACACAGTCACCTGGGTGGGGCTGCTGGTTCCAGATTATGGTTACTTCTCTCCCAGTGCCCTGGCCCGTATCTATGTTTCTAAAACTGATGGCAGGCTGAACCCAGGACGTGGGCTCTCCCCACCACCCTGCATGGACTTGCCCAATAAATTCCACTTAGTAATTTCACCGAGGCGAGGGAGAGCTGTTAGTGTCTGTTTTCTGACCTAAATCAAGCGGGTGGCCAGGACAGGCTTCAATGGATAGAGAGGAGAGCTGTTGGCTTAGAAAAAGACCCAGAGGAGGGACTTGCACGCGGGACGGGGTAGGCAAGATGCGGTCTTAGTTTCCTGCAGGGCTTTCTGTGAGCCGGTTTGCCCTCATCGGGCTACATCGCCTAGCCTCCTTGTGGAAGGGCTGAGGTTGGAGGGGGCCTTTCCCCCAACACTCCCTACATTTTGTTCAGGGCTACTTAGAGGGATCATATGGCAGCCGTGGCTTCCTTCAAGGCCCAGGGTTGATGTCAAGGCTTTCTGTCCTGTGGTCATCCAGGACAGAAAGAGGCAGGCAGGATGCGACGACGCTGAGAAATACTGTTCTACCGGACCGTGGGGCTAGGTGCACGCATGTAGTTCATATGGTTCACGGAAAAGCCAAGAACAGGCAGCGGGTTCGAAAAGCTTGCCAGAGTTCGCAGAGATTCCTCTTGCCTTCCCACGATGCCAGGTTATTTTATTATTATTATATAATTATTCACATCTAGCAAGAACAACATTTTGCACTTGGAGCACATCTCTCTTGTGTTGGTACGTTTTCTTACAAATTCTTACTAAAAGAGACCTGGGGCTTCTCATTTCAAGGCATGTTCCCTGCGGCTGGAAACTCCCACCGCACCGCTTGCAGGAAGGCCACCAAGATTACCCCCCTGTAATCAAGCCCCCCACACCCTCCCACCCTCTCCTTTCAACAACTCAGTTTTTACACCGTTTGTAAAACATGGCCTTTTGAAAAAGTACGATGTTTAGGAAACGGGGGAGTAATGTAGCAAAGGCATTTCCATTGTGTGTGCCTTGTGTCATAACTGGCTTTGAAGACCTGACCTTCTCTTCTTCTTCTTCTTCTTCTTCTTCTTCTTCTTCTTCTTCTTCTTCTTCTTATTCTTCTTCTTCTTCTTCTTCTTCTTCTTCTTCTTCTTCTTCTTCTTCCTCCTCCTCCTCCTCCTCCTCCTCCTTCTTCTTTTTCTTCTTTTAGGATCGCAAGTGCCCTGAATTTGCTCTTCTAACAGAGTCAGACCTGTTTGTTGATGAAATGACCGGCTTGCTGACAAAGAGGGGACATCAATGGAGAGACAGATCTAGGCCCTTCTTTGGCATTTCGAAGAAGCTGGGGTGAGTACCCTGGATGGATAACTAGGGGAACACCCCCCCCCCCCC